GAACCACAGCAGAACTGGTAGGGAGAAGTGTGGCTCACTAGTAAATGCAGTGGGACAAACTTGTCGGCACCACTGATGGCTCTAGCTGATGTTAGAAAGCCTTGATTTTGATAAATATTGAGAACCAGATTTTCAAAAACTGCTGAAAGCCAGGCCTACACGATGGATGCAGAAGCTGCTCTGAATTCCTAAGGATGGCAGCACACCCCAGCCACCCCTCAATTTCACGATGGATAAGGCTCAGAGATGCACTAATCTCCACCTCCCTCCCCCACTGAGTTGGTTTCTATTAGGAATGAATCCTGGGTGCCTGGAACAGAACATAATTATGGCAGGCCCTGGAAGCCTGAAATCTCCAGCCCTTGATTAATTCACACTTATCCATATGTAAATTCAGTGTGAATGCTGTCAGCACAATTTCCTCATTAGAATTCAACAAAAGTTTAGGAAGACAATTGTTTTAGTAAAAGAACAAATGTAGCTACAGTACTGAATTAAGTCTGTAAAGAGAGAAATCTTCAATTTCAGTGTTTAATTTGTACATCAGTACAAATCTACAGGAAAGCCCAAAGCCAAAATTACTACCAACACATCTTAAAATATGTAAAAGCCAAGACAAGTCATTGATCACGGAACAAAAGCCTGAGTACAAGGGAAGAAACTGTTATGGAACTGAATGGGCAGAGATCAAAGTTGGCCACATTCACAGTATGTGTGGAGGGACACACCTGGTTTTGCAGTGGGATGGCCGTGTCCTCCTCGTGCAATCTGGGGCACACGTGCTTCACTTGAGGGCCAAAGAAGGAGGGAAGAAGTCAGAGTCATCTTAGACCACATATGAGACTCATGTCTCAAAGATGCAGTTGGCAGCTGCTGCCAGCGTGTATGAGCCATTACAAAAAACCCCGAAAAAAACGAGGCATCTGCCTCTCATTGAAAACGGGCTGTCGTACACACAGCACGTGACTTAAAATTTGTGATGGCATGCACTGGAAAAGCAGAATACGGAGAATGCAAAACTGCTTGACTCACATATGCTTCTGGTGCAAAATACTCAGGATGCAATTTACTTCACATAATTAATAATCTTATCCATTCTGTGAGATATTCTGATGCACCCCAGAATTCAAACTGAATGTAACAAACTGTATTGAATACTAAAGATTTGATTTTTACCCACGCATCACTCATGTGTCCAGTCGCAGTTCCCACCCCCCCTAACCACAAGCACCTCACAGATGCCCAAGTTAGAAGTGGTCAACTAAGGTTCCTTCAAATAAGAGCTGGAGAGAGGGAACTTCTCACCTTGAATCATCTTCTGGAAGGCTCCCTTACTGTATCCAGCTCAGAGAAAGTGTTAGGACATGCGCTACAAGAGGTAGTGAGAATACTTCCAGTTGATACTAGGTTATTAATATAGACACAGCGGCTAGAGCCTTTTCAAACCTAAATAAGAGTTAATTTGTTCTGAATAATAAAAAATGCCAATCAGAAACCCTAGTTGACACCACGGATTGTTCTTCTGGAGGAAAAAGAACACCCTCTATGTTATTAGAGTACTTTTCTACTAGAAAAGTTGATTTAGGAGAAATAAAAAGCATCTGAAAGAAACATTCTAGATGCTTTTGTCCCTTCTCTGGTTAAAACCTACTTCGTCAAAAAGCAAACCAAGTTGGACTCACAGCTCGGATACAATACTTCAAGCCAATAAAAATAAAGATGCCGCTTTGCATAGGCTGCAGCAGATGATGCCAAAGCTAAGTGTGTCCTAGCAGGAGAACCCGAGTGCTCTGCACTCCCTGTCAACACAGATGTCACAACCCTGCCTCGCTCTTCTGGATTTGCAAGCAGTGACCTAAGTACAAGCTCCCTGAAAGCAAAGGCTTTCAGTACGGTGACTGAACTGGTTCAAATCCCACACTTTGTTTGTTCTGTCTAGTGCGCTATAAATAAATCCTGAAAAGCTGCATTTGAAGTTTTTCCACAACAAGCTTTGATATAACACCACCCTGGTTTTGACTTGGGGGTAGTGGGGATGTGGGGAGGGAGGGGGGAGAGGGACGTCTACCAATTCTCCTTTGAATTCACAAATGGTGTCTTGCTACAGTTGCCTATAGATTTTAAAATCAGGAGGCACTGCGTTAGCAAACGCTCACTGGCATGCATTGTAGCAGAAAACAGGACATATAATTAAACATACAGCTGTGAGGTAAGATCTTTGGCAGGAGAAAGAGAGCTTTGGGAAGCAAGTGGCAAGGGCAAAGCACTACCAAGTAACACACTAATGTGGTCAAGAGGGGGAATGAAGCACAGGGGCAGAGATGAAGAAATGGGAGTGGGGATGAGAGAAGCAGAAAAAGCAGCACAAAGAAATAAAATGACAGGAAAAGAAAGAAGGCAAAGCCTACAGAAGAGAAGAACATAAGGAAAAACGTCTCTCTTAGAAGTAAGGTAAGGTAAGGAGCCTCTTTGGTAAGGACAGGAGCCACATTGTTATGCAACAGGATATATTGTTTTCTGTATTCAAAGAGTTTATTTAAGCTTATATGAAACCTCAAAAAAAAAAAATCTGTGGAAGAAAAAAAAAGAGAAAGCATCATCATATTTCTTTCAACTTTTAAATTGCTTTTTAGGTCATATTTCACCCTCCCCTCCCACCCCCCAAGTATTTTCCAGGATGGAATTTTCTTCTTCCCACTCCAGGATTCGGCGTGGGCAGAGCACCGCAGATGCTGCTGAACTCAGAAACCAAGAGCCTGATTCATTCTTCCCTTGAATCTTGTGCTATCATTTAGACTGGGACGAAGCAAACGTCAAAGGCTGCGAGTCAGAAAGATAATTTTACACAGCTTCTACATTCACTTTGTCCCAGCATAACGGTGGTACAAGAGGAAGTGTAAAGATATATCCAGTTCTAAATCCCTGCTAGTTTGTCAAGTATTTGTTTAAGAATATTATTTTTCCTCCTGTTCCAGCAGACTTATGCTCTAAAACTCCTCCGAGTTTTTGACTGCACGCAGAGGGCAGGTTTTCCCTAAGGTAAGACCAACAACCATTTTTCAACTGCACAGAACAAATATCCTTAAAACAAAGACAACCTCAAACAATCAATCAGCAAAGCCCTCCAGTCTCACTGACCGTGTTCAACAAGTCCAGATTATTTTCTGTAGGTTTCCTTACACTTCAGCCTCTGGTACTGTACAATCACACCGCTGGGTATCAATTCAGCACTTAAAAAGGATTCTCAGAATAAACTGTAAGGAGTCATATGACATAAAAGAAGCTGCCCCCAAGATAAGCAATACAGCGTTTGTATTTTTGAAAGCTGAGGTCAATTTCAGTAAGAAAGATTCCCTACTTACTTCATTTTAGACGTTAAAACAAACAAAAGCTTTAACATTTTAAAAGGTTAGATGCATTTTTTACTCCCACTGTTTCTTAATAAAACACCATTTGTGTGGGAAACCAGCTTAGTGCATACTTTAAATGGCAAACCATTAATTGATCCAACATGTTGGCAGTTTTAGAGAAACTCACTAGACAAGAACAAGCAATGCATCTTGAGTTTTGAAACAGCCTCAGCTTTACTTTAAGGGTGCGTAAGTATGCCAAGCTCCTACTACTTTACACTGCTTAGCATATAATCTGCGATACTTAAAGCACCAAGAAGTATAATCTGAACAGCTACTAAACCATGTGCAGGTTATAAAGCACAGTTTTAAGAAGCTCAAGAGGTTATGAGTTACTTGTCTCACAAAACCGATGGAAAATACTAAAAAAAACACCCCATCTTCCACCAATCCTACCAAAGAAACATGAATTTACCCAAATAAATAGTTAATCTCTTAAAGAGGCTGCACACAAGAGGTTCCAAAAGCGCTACTTTTGCCTCAGCAGTATTATAGCATTATAGTTAGGCAACAAATTGTTTTTCAGCACGTCCATGCTAGCTAGTTTAATGTGGAAATTCAAAATGTCATAAGAATAACATCCTGTTTTGCAGCCTTTCTGTGTTTCAATTTACCCCTAACTCTGCTAAGATTCAACTGGCATGAAACAGCTGGGCATGATTAGTTACTGGATGCAAACCAAACTGAGATTTCACAATAGGTGGCATTTTAGTCTCCATGGCATAGGCTGTTGGTATAAAAGACCAGTGACCCCTGGCAGAAAACACCGTCCCTAAACATAAATCTGGTGATCTGTTTTAAAAACAACATTATTTCACATCAAACATTGTTACCAAAACAGCTTTTTTGGCGGGCGTAACGCAAAGCTGGGGTTGTTGCTGATGACTGGATTTCTGCTTGATTCTACTTAGACGTGCACATGTTGGGACCCGAGCGCCCATGTGCTGACCCTGCGAGCACAAACTCCCTCAGACCGTTCACCTGGGAAAGTGAAATCCCACCCAGTCCCGAACAAAATACCTCATGTTCTCACCAGATCGGATACTCAGCATTCCTACTCGATCCCACAGCTTTTACACTGTCACAGGCAAGACAGTGGACGCTGTGTTCCCTACTTTATTGCACCTCCTGATAAGCCTGCACCATAAACACTATGCTTCTCCTCTTCCAAGGGTTTCAATCACACCCCATCCCACACGGCACCTGCCAGAGGATCCAAAAGACACACCAAAACATCGGTGCCCCACAGTGGGCTCAGGGTCCCATCCATTCCTCCGATTAGACCCAAACTTTACATCTCCCAAACTTTTCACCCCTGGAGCACCAGCGTGCATTGCTGCTTGCGGCATATCCATCCTTTGCCGCGGCAGCACGGAGAGGCGCTCCGTGGCCCTTGGGATGGGCACCCACCGCCCGGCAAGGCCCGCAGCCCACCCTGCTCCTTGCCAGGAGGTGCGAGGACACCTTCCACCCCAGGCATGCCGGATGGCAGAGCGGGCTGCCGCGTACAGGAAAACGGGGCCCGTCCGCCCAGGCAGCGGAGACCTCGGGGTGCGCCAACGGAGCGCGGGCAGGTTGCCCGGAGCTCACCTGCGTGGGGCATGGTGATGGTCTCGTTGGCGTTGCTGGAGCCCACGTTATAGATGACCACGGCGGAGGCGTTCTGGGCGGCGGCGTGGCGGATCTTGTCCTTGTAGGTGCAGTTGCCCCGCGGGATGAGGGCCACCCAGCTCTTGCCCGGCGCCGGGGCGTTGAAGCGGGTGCCGGGGTC